AAAATATATAGGACTCTTATAAGTTGGGGCCAACCTAGATCGTGCATTTAGAGAGGTTTTACATAGTACTTGCACTTGGGGGGTGCGACTGTACTATACAATTAATAAAAATTAAGCAAATTTTTTATAATAAAAATTTTTTATAACTTTAAACAAAAATAACTTAGTGAAACCTTGACCAAATTTAATAAAATTTTTTTTTAAATAATTTTTACAAACTTGTAAAATTAATTTAAAAAAAAATTTATTAAATTTTTGTTAAATTATTATTTTTAAAAAACATTAAAAATATTTGCTTGGTTTTTATTAACCCTATATATTGTATATACTATATAAATTAAATAAAAATTATAAATACAGTATATCAATAAAAAAATAGATACGTATCAAGTAAATTATTATAAATTAGTTTTGGCTTTAACTTTTTAATAATATTTTAATTATTCTTATACGTAATCTGGTAAAATATATATATATACTATATATACGTATACGTAATATATATATTTTGATAATGTTCTGGATAATATGTAGTGCGATAGTATTTACTGTAAAATAAAACTATAATTTTTTGTAGTAAAAAAAAGTAAAATAATTCATTCTAATTTTCTAAAAAAAAGCCTAAATTACTAACTTGTTACACAGAATATTGCGAATCATTTCTTGAAAATCATCCACGAAGTAAAAAAAGCCTGAAAAGCCTGAAAAGCCTACGTGTATAATCCTATTACGATAAAAAAAGTTTATGCAGATATCGTTATTCCAAAATAGTTTAGATTCTATTCAAGTTCAATAAGGTTCATAAGGTTTAGTAAGGTTTAATAATCACATGATTACTGCTTTGCACCACATGTCTTTACAAAATGAGGCGGTGATTAAGAATTCTTTTATTAGGCGTCAGATTTTCTTGCCTTCTCTTATGAGATTATGATTTCGTACTTTGTAATAGCAGGATTTTACTTTGAATAGGTGTATGTACAGATGTAGTATGATTGGGCGCTGATGAATTAATAAATTTGAATCAACTCTTTTTTTTTGTGGTAACCACAAGATTAGAAGTGATGGACAGTTGATGAACCAACAAAAATTTTCGTACTCCCAAAGATGCAGCTCAAATTGTATTTATTAGTTAGTCTATAAATCTCCTTGGAGTCTCACCACGCAATTTTTTATGGTTGCATAAAAACTGTTTGCCGTTACTATAAAACACCACTAAACAGCCGAACGAAATCTTAACGGTTGCTGTATTCCCAGTTATCTTATATAGTTGCTTCGTTGGTGTTTCCTATTTTTTTGCTATAGTGGGCACCCTCTTTCGTCTAATCTTTGTACCGTTTTAATCTTTTCATTTATTTTACCCCCTTAGTTATATCTTCCTTATAATACACTTTTGTTATTCTTTACATTCACTTTTTGCGTTTAAATTTTCTACTTCGTCATTGCGGGTCCTTTAGGTGACATTCCCTTTGTCTAAAGGGGTCGGAGGCTTTCGGGTGGAACACGGCAACATATCATAATAGCTTGCCTGCATTACTGATTTTTTAAATCCTTTGTTGCCTTTCGGTCGTCCTTACCGATATAGAAAGTTTATAAATCACATATCTATTTCATTCTAAAGCCTTAGAGTTACAATACATTGTATTCCACGCTGGACCAGTCAATGGCAAATGGTGAGAAGAGGTTGATTCCAGAGGACAGAATGGAAAAAAGAAAAGTTTCTAAACGGCGACAAACGGGCACAACAGCGAAAGACGATATTGAGGTAAATACGACGTTTATTAGATATGCTCTGCTTTTTCAAATAGAGTTTGTTTGGTTTTCATGTGTAAGGCTAAAAAATTTTTTTCATTATATCTTTTGGTAGTTATTTCAATCGCCGCCAAATTCGCCGCTATTAGCACCAAAATCATCACATTTGACACCCTCCTTGGAGGCTCCATCCCAACTACAAACACCTTTTTCTTCTCCTCCGTCTTCGCGCCCGTCTTCTCCTAATCCTTCAGATTCACCATGTTTTACACCTTTGCCCATTTCTCGTCCTTCGACTCCATATTTCAAAGAAACCAATACTGATGTCACGATTATAAGCATAGTCTCCCGTGACCATAATTTTGTAGACGAAGATTTTGTTAGAGATTCATTGTATCAGCAGAATTTAAAGATTGTTTCTCAGCACTCAACTATAAATATCATTCATAGCTCGATACCTCCATGTGCAAGGTGTCCTCCAGAAATAATATATCATATTTTTGAGATATTACGCAATTTACACCAACCATCTTTATTCTCTTGCATTCTTGTCAATCATCAATGGAACGCCATAGGAGCTAATGTTCTTTGGAGTTCCCCCAAATTTACTCACATGCGTTCACTTGACAAATTCATAAAAACTATAGAAAATTTACCGTCATCTCAACAACAATCTTCATCAACGAAAGCATCATTAATATTTCA